CGTTTTCAGACAATTTTTCGACCGTGAAATGTCCACACTAAAATGGTCAAATTAACAGCTTGTTTCCTGTCCGTTTGTTTGCCGTTTTGAGAACTTTTTAACGTGCCGTTTGTTGTGTGACCGTTAAGTGGCCATTAACGGGCCGTTTTATGGACCTGAATAATTTTTTTCCATCGTCAGAAACCTATAGTCAGATAGAATTGTTTACCTTGTACACTAAAAATCGATTGATTTGAAAATACGACACCGATGGGTGATTGAGTGCCAATAATATAGGCTGATTGTATTAAATCAGGACTACCAAGACCAACGACATAGTTGATGCAATATTGAGAACCAGACAAGCCTTTGTTATCGATGGGTGATGCACAAAACACCTGAGGACCTGAAACAAATTATTTTTCTAAAATTTAAGAATATGATTATTAAACGACTACACGAAGACTCTTCGTACCATATTGATCTTCAGTTGGTGTCCATGTCATTGTAATGTAATAACTGGTTGGCGCTGATGCTCCGACTGGAAGCACAGACGTCTTTGTCATGTACATTGGCGTACTCGTTAAAAACTCTGTGATTGAACTATTAGCACAATAGACCTGAGCAATAATAGTTTCGGTCAATGTGACATTGATCGGAACACCTAAAGTATATTTGTAAATTCAATATACAAAAGCTATTTCGGGTTTCTTGCATCTCGCATACCGATGCATGCTCGATTTGGACGTACACCTGTGATGTTTTGTGAACATTCAATTATTATGTGATGAAAGAAGATGGTGGAGGATATGCTACAACATTTTCAATGGAGTTGATTTTTAATGTTGCTCGTTAGTCTGCCACGGTGTTGTTTGAAACGTATTTTATCATTATTCTTTTCAGAAATCCAAGATCGAGTTTTTGATTCATGCGGAACTCCTCCATATTAACACTTGAAGCAATTTTCAGAATGCAGTGATTTTCATCGTTAAACATCAATATCACGCCTAAAAATAAGACTGATTATGTCTTCTTCTTGCTTGTTGTAGAATGATATCGAATATTTTACAGATTTTGCCTGATTAAACCTGAGAGAAATCCTTCCAAAACAGTCCCTTTTAAATGGAATGGAAAAAATTCACTTATAGACAGCTGATAGATATATTGCATGTGTCAGAAGTAGCATACTGTTTAAATTCGCCTTTGCTAAACTACACAGTTGTAAACATGTTTGTGTCATTTCCACGAACTTTCCTCCGGCATGCTGACACTCAACCGAGCTAAACATTGGATAAATACGGTCAATCAATCCAATGCTTTTCGTTTCTTCTTTTACATCTTCATTTGTTATTTTTGAAAAAAACAAAGGGTTAAAAAATAGAAAACAAAAAGAATTCGGTTGTGCAAAAGAAAACTAAATGGGTGGCATGTAAGACGTATTTCCGACCATTAACGAAATAGAATCTTCATCGGACAGAAATGCTCAGCACACTTTCTTGTTTCTCGTGACACAATCTGTTTTTTGTAAGAAAAACTGGCTCTTGGAGTGTCCATCATCTCACTACCCCACACCAGGGGACCGGACGGGCATATATTAGGATTCAATATAGTCGCAGCCTGAAAAGGAAATGTAGTTAAATGTGATCACTATTGCAGATTTGACTTCAAAAAACTAGAAAAAGCTGGTCACACGAAGAAAAACGCAAATAGGAGCACATCTTACTACACGTGTTACTCTATTTTTGGTATCAAAAGATGGGCATGCCTAGTTCTTCGTATAGACGTCGTTCCCACAGCGGACTTATGCGATACATTCAGTTGAATCAGTTCCATTGATTGATAAACGGATACGTTATCTTTGAGATGTGCATGAGTCTCCATTAACGCCACAAAGATGGTAACACGATACATTAACACCCGATTTCTCAAGATGAACACTTAATTAATCAAGTTTTTTTCATGGACGTAATTTTATTCTTTCACTTCAAAATTGTAAAAAGAACCTTATCCGTGACAGTATTTGGTCATGAAGAGATAAAAACGAACCAGTTGCTTTGCTACTTTTTTATTGGTGCGTTTTTAACTTCTGTTAAACAGACGCTTAGTCTGGAAATGAATAGTGATTATTTTCAAAAATCAGATGTTCATGTGCCATGTTATGACAGTGTTGGACGTAGTTGGCCCAGAGACTGCTTTTTCTGGCTTTTTCGAATATATGTGCAGTAGTGGTCACCTGACATGCAACAGAGTCGATTAACCACCTTTTAATTGGAACATCGTGTGGCTATAACAATCCTTTTTGTTGTAACAATAATTATTTTGCCCTACTCATGTGACATATGGCTCGTAGCAAAATGTTCTTTTAAAGTATGACATTTTCCTGAATTTAGTTCAGTCATACAGTCATTTTGGCACTCAGCATTTCTCACCAAAGTTTAAGGTAAAAAGGTTATTGTATATAAGTGAAATTTTTCAAAAAATAAAAGATGCATTTTCAAAGTAGCTTTTTTCATTAAATTTCCATGAAAAATGTTGCGTCTAAAAAATGTACAGCGTACAGTTCTAAACATCTTTCCTCGGAGATGCGTATTTGTTGACTGAACAACAGATTCCAGCGTATTTTCAAAAATCTGTGTACACAAAAAATTGGTCGATCATCGGTTATGATCGGTGTCGGATAACCGCTTAAACACCAAAATCGGTGCATGCCTAGTCGTCATATCTAACTTCTACTGTGATGATACTGAGTCCTAATATATGTCCGTATGATATATGTGCGGATGAATGGCTTTTTGAGCTTTTTTGCTTGATCAAGATTCTTTTTCGTTAATGAAAGGAATTACGTATGATCCATGTTTTACAATGCTTTAGCTCTATATTCTAAGCAGTACCAACTTATAATAAGGCGTTAAGTCGGATCCCTTAGCACAGTCGGATTTAATCACATCAATATGTCTATTTTGACGACGTACTCGAGGAAAACACATCGTAACGTCTTTTAGAACACACATTACAAACACTGAAAGGGCATCGTGAAGACACAAGGGAGACACTTATCATATGGAAGGCATATTAAACATGTCTTTCTGTGGATTTTCCATCATCGGTAGATAAGAGAGAGACGGATACTTGGACGAGTCACTATTTTTAAGAGTGTATGCACTTTATAATATTCTATCAAAAATTCTATAAAAAGTTTGCACTCTGATCTACGTCGGTCCAAAGACACGTATTTTCGCTGTGTGCTTTTTCATCCAACCACTTCAGAAATCATAACCCCTAGACATTTCTTTCCACGAAGATTCTACTCGGTTTTTGATTCTTCATCCATCTCTAATATGCTACAAAATGCGAAGAGTTTTCGCTCCATAGTGAAAAGTGAAAAATAGTATCCAAAATTTGATTGGATTTTACCATTTAGTTAAATAGTGTAGATGGTTAAATAAGCACGTCAAAACTTCTTAAAATAATCACGTAATAGACGGACTACTCAGGGATTTATCGAACACGCACCAGCAAGGGGCGCGTAAGCCAGAATCAACATTTGCAATGGAACAGAGCTTAAAGCTACTAAACTTGCATTATTAACGAAATCTTCGACGGTGATAGCTGCCACATATGTTGACTGGGTTTGACTAGGTTTAAAAGCGGCAAGCCACGTTATTGTGCAGTCAGACGTGGATAACTGTGCCGTTGAAAATGAACTGGTTGCTGATCCAGTAAAACAAATATCTCCGCATTCATCGACTGGCGAACCTGTTGACCATCGACATCGCAACACATTACCAGTATCCCAATCAGCAATTGGTATTTGAATAGTGCATACCTGGCCTACGCGGCAACGTATTAAGGGTAGTGAACCAGTGACTAAATGAAAAACAAGTGTATAGAAGAGAAAACGGTTAATTATAGGAGGATACAGACCAGGAGATGTATTAAGAGGTCGTTGAGTCAAATCAATATGTGTTGTGACCGCCCAATTATTTGCACCTATTTCAGTTGCCCAAGCACTGCTGTTATATGATATATAAATGTCGGTACTATTACTCAGGCTAACTTTTTTATACGTAGCGCCACTACTGATTGATAAATAAACATTAAAATCAGTGCAAATTAGTCCTTGATTGACTTCCACAGAATTATAAATACTATTTGCACAAGTTGATGGACTAACGCTCTTTATACACATAAGAGGAATAGCTGTTGCAACTGCGCAACCCCCATCACAGTAAGGACCTTGCGACTGGATTAATGCTTGATTGCATGTAAAACGTGTTGATGTTGGTGTTGTTGTTGTCGTTGTAAATGAATGACGTTCATTAATCATTATTTCAATAGTCGCACCAATTGGTGCTGAATTATTCATTATTTTCCATGTTATCGTACCTCCTTTGTAATGGCCGCATTCAACGCACAGAATTAGTGAAAAAACTATTAAATAATACATTTAATCTATATGACACGAACACTAATTTTATGATCCACTTTCTAGAAATAACTACTCGCGTGTTTAAAGGAGTAGAGTTTAAGAACAATCATAAATGAAAACGTTTAGCAGCGATACTCACATAACTATCGTAGGGTACACGACAAAAGAACAATGAGAAAACTTCTCACAGCAAGAACACTTCATTTCTCCTAACTCAAGCTTTTGCTAACTGATGAGCTTTTTTATGGTAGCGCGTTTCGAATCAGTCTGAATAAAATTACTATAAGAAATATTTAAAATGATATATAATAAAGAATTATATAAATATTTTTTAAACTTGTTGAGGACAAAACATTAAAAATAGTTAGCATACATCACAACATAACTTCTACTCTGTGTACACTACAAACATTAGAGATTGTCTTTATTTTCTTTTGTACCGGTTAATTGATTATGAGATCTCTTCAAATATTTTATAAACTTCACTTTTCGTCTTTCTTCATTCTTTCACTTAATGTTTATTTGCATTTGACTATTGAGCATAAACATTTGAAAAGAATCTATGACGGTAATCAAAATCTGACGCTTAATAACCATTTAGGAATGAATTGCTTGATTTATAGAAGAACGTCAGAAACAGTAGGCGTGGTTGAAGTGTAAATGATTGATGAATCCATGCAAATGCAAATGGAGAGTAGCCATCTAAGTTGCTTCCCATCGCGTCGCGTCACCGACTTTTTAAGAACATCCGCGGCGAAGTACCAAATTTTGGAAACGTCATCAGTTTTTTCGAAACCTTAGCGGCGCGGTAGCGGCTGATTACTAACCGCGATGGACATCTCTGGTACGAACCATCAATAGATAAATTTTATTTCTGTAATTCGGATCATACTTTATCATATTTTGTTTCAATCATTTTCTTTTCATTTAAACCGACTCTGCATATAGTCGACCGTATGTAAAGTCGGTTTAAATGAAAAAGTGGTCTTCTGACGTCAGATGATTAGCCGATGAGGAATCAACAATAGCTAGAAGAATGACACTGGCAAGTCTACTTTAGAGTTTAATGCTACAGAAGGAAATAGATCCTGATCAATAGGAAAGCAAGTCCAACTTCTGATATGAAGCGACAACAAACTTTTTTCTTGTTTTTTGTTAGTAAGTACGTAAAGATAGCCTTTCTTCAGAAAATATTCTCTGCAATTTACAAAAATGGTGTGCTAGCGGGAGAAGGAACTGAAATCACTGACAGTCTGTTTTATGTACACCACTTAGAAAAAGGAATGAATGTCATCATTTGGATTCTTACTTGAAATATTCGACACGAAAACGCAAATGATTATCTACGATTCTCGTTTCATCTTATCCACACCTCATTTTCTTGTTTTAAAACTTGCCTCGCATGCATTTACACTCTAGATTACCCACTGAAAAAAAATAATCAAAATTCATGCAGGATCCCGCGGGTTATCGGTATAGGAACCCTGTCAGAACCCTGTATAGTTTATGTACGGTCAGCATGGAAAAATCCTGCGTAAAGGTAAGAAACATCGCAAGACTTTTTGATTTATTCAATCCACAAGTTTTTTCCTACGAGATCTGGCAGAATTTGGTTGGTTGAAAGAAAAACGATTTTGTTCTCCATGTCTATCTTTCGGTATCCAGCAACCTTTTCTCACCAATATCTGTCCAGGGTGACCGTGGAGGAATTTGTCTGTATTTTGTTTTGGAAAGTTAAGTACTTTTTTCTTATAAAGTTATAAAAAATTTTCTCGTGTCCAATAAACTTCTAGAAAAGGTACACCTTAATATTTGGACTTTAGCACGCATTTTCATGTGTACAAAACCAAACTATTAATAGATAGCTGAAAAGATCTTTTTTTATGTCACGAATATTCTATTTTTGTGTCTATCAATAAGAAATTAAAGTCATTAGAATGATCCTGCTACTGTTTCTAGGGAATTTTCAACTACCATCCAGAAACCGAACAAAAACCAATGAAAAGTGATGTCAATCTTGCAACGGCCAAGATAATGTATCCTCTAAATAAGAAATATTTGATATTTTCGGCCATGAAACACGTGATCTTTTATATGATATCAAATTCCAGTTAGCTTGTTGAAAGTCACATATCTGACGTGGATATTATATGTTTCTGCTTTAACTTATTTAATTTTCTGTTGATTCTGTTATGATCATAATGAGATATTATTTATGTCCAGCAGCAGCAGCATCGATGGTATTGCGATTATTGATAAAGACAAGTCATACTCGATGGTCTAGTCACTCTTCATTCAAGTTGGCGTACACCCAGACTACGCGACTATCGTTCCAGGGAAAATTCCTCTTTCGAAAACGTTATTTGACAAAAAGTGTAACTATGCCTGTTTTTCGGCACCGGCAGCGCCGCCATGAACATCTCTGGTTCGTACATAAGTGAATTTCATAGCCATCTTACCATTTGAAAAAATACTTGATGAAATAAGACTGTATATAGACGATTGCTAAGTTGGGGATTCGATTGGGGATATATTGATTGCCTGTAAATATAACGTGTTCCTTGCACTTAATCGATATTAAGGTTAATTTCATTCTTTTTGCGAAGGTTAGATCCAACTTCCGATGATTTTCGCTTAAGAATACCTTTTGTCTGTATCGAAACGTTGACTCTTATATGCTATTCGAAAGAGCTTATAATGACGAATTAGACGGTATATGTGCAGGATGGTTCTGACCCATGTACCAGCATATAGCAAACAAATCCGAAAATGACTGAAGTATTTGATGTTTATAGACAATACATAAAACTAACCATAAGTTGTTATTTTTCTGTTAGAAAGATAGCCCGTGCTTTGACAAATCGAACAGTGAATAAAAAGTTTGGTTTAATTTTGAACTTGGTAGAGAAAATCACACGTTGATTTGTTATGAAAATACAGCTGTTGTACAAACAGTCCCAAAATCGATTTTTGGGGCCATCTAAAAAGCGCGTCTAAAAGAAGGAAGGCGAGCTGGCAAATATTGAACAAGTATACCAATTGTTCGCTCTACAAGATGTGGCAGCTCGTCAAGTTCGAAACTAGCTGTCGTAAAAACAGCTGAAGCCAAACACTGATAGAATGTTAAAATTTTTTTTTTAAATATAAAGTGTAATACTGCTGCAAGTATAAAAACGTTTTAATAAAATTCTTCTGAATTTATTTAAACATTCGAGCTTTCGATCAGAACTTCGATCATTTTCAAGAGTGAATGACAACGTTAGAGGACGTGAAGGACAACGGCGAGGGGAGACAGTTCTACAAACATTAGAATCCGCATTCTAATGTGTTATTATGGATTTTTCCTTTCTTCTTCTTTGGCTATTCATTCTTTTTGGCTATTTTGAATTTTCCAAACTTCTTCTTTCCCTGTGCATGTATTTTCATATATACACTGCTTCTTTTCTCTTTATCATTCACTCTTGAAAATGATCTAAATTCTAATCGAAAGCTCGGGTGTTTAAATAAATTCTGAAGACTTTTATTAAAACGTAAATTTTTCATAGCAGTATGATACTTCAGCTTTAAAACTTTATTTTCAAGTGCTCATTAGTGGCAGTACCACGGGTGGGCTCAGCCTACCCTGAAAAATTTTTAGAATTTTGAAAAACAGTCACATTTTCTTCCAGTATAGATGACGCAGTATATCCTCTTCAAATGTAGAGAAGGATTTGCATTCTTTTCAATTGGTTTCATTAACGAATCAACCAGATATTTCTTTCGTTTTACCACTTCCTCTTTCTCTCCGTTTCTGATTTATATATTTACCTGTTACAACTTCGTTGACCAAGTAGTGAAATACTCTGAATTTTAAGCTTGAACAGTTCAAATGGAGCCCGATAAACGTAAACCAATTGGCCCTTTCTTTTCATCAGTTAAAAAATTAAAAACTGTCACAACACCAGCTAGTTTGCCACAAAATTTTGCATCAGAAATTGACTTTGAGCATGTTGTCGATCAGTTTGCACGTGTGCATGAGAACTGTGGAATTTTGTTACGTTAATTGAACATTTCTCTTAGTATTTTTTAGAATAAAGCTTTTCTTGTTTGTACGAAAGTTTAAGAGCGGCGTAGGTAGGTAGAGAAATTAACTTGGTTGGGAAAAATAAACACTACCCTTTTTCCTTTCCGAGTACAGTCGGGCTGAGCCCACCCTGGTTACAATTCCTCGTACCGCCGCTACTGCTCATTCGAATAATATTTTTTAGTAGAATCTTGCATATTTTCCATTTATTTTCTGCCCATTTAAAAATTGAAATAATAACCAAATGAACAATATTTTCACAGTTTTATTTGTATCTATTTACAAATTTAAAGCTGTGCTAACTTTCTTGGAACGCCCTTTTGCTTTTCGTTTGCCTAATGATTAAATACATGATTCATCGCTAACTTGATACAAGTTAAATAAAATTGTTAATTTAATAGAATGTTTACATGAAGATACTTTCATACCGACCGGATAGCTGCATGATTCTAATGGTACAGCAAGCCAACAGGATTGTTGCTACACCGGAGAATCATTGGATGTGTTATTGGCTAGATATTTATCGTTCTCGTCAGCGGCTTACATTCAATGATTTTCTAGTTTGGCAACAATCTGCAATTTTATTTAACTTGTACCAAGTTAACGATAAAACATGTA